TTATTTTTAAATGTGTATAAAAAGTAGAGATGCCCTTGCTTCAACATTTATCAACTCATGGCCAGTATTATTCCATCTGTACCTCCCACATTCCAACAACTTCAGGTTAAACATAAAGATTTTTTTCAGATTGTTCTTTAAAATTAATTTCACCTAAATTGAAGTTTTGCTGTGATTATTTTTTTATGTTGGCTATCCCTCTGAATATTAGATTTTTTCAGGGACTTGGCTTGTATAATTTGTTAGAATTGTTTCTCTCCTTCTGTGTCTTAGCTTTCCCTGCCTAGTGGGCTTGTGGTTGCCTCCCCCAGCGTCCATCTCCCCCAGCCCCAAGTCCAGAGCCCTTGTCGTAACAGCATTTGCATATCCGGCTGTGCTGTGCTGTGACCATCCCATTTCAGCTCCTGGTTGTGGGGCTGGTTCCAAGTCTCCCTATCCATGAGGTCCGCAGTTTCAGTTAATCTAGATGCCCAGATGGCAGCTGGAGGCAGTGTTTTCAGCCTCTTTCCACAAATGGAGGGCTCTAGACCCCAGCCCGGGTGCTCCCTCTCACACAGACCACTTTGAGTTTCCATTTTCTCCCCCAGGAACCAAAAGCCTGGCCCCCACTGACCAGGCTTCAGCTCCACCCACTGGTTTGCATCTCCTTTCTAGAATACTTCTGGTTTGTGGAGATGTTTATCTTGTTTTTAAGTCTGGCTCTGTTTGTTTCTTACTTTCTTTTTTTTGTATGTTATCCATTATTCTATGTTTCTGGAGATGAGAAAATGCTCCATCTGACCAGAAGTCTCCACTCTATAAATAAATGGTGGATGTTCTGTCTGTCCCTCCCTCTTTTTAACAACATATGTATAGGACAAAAATTGCTTTCAAAGCATCTTTGTCCTGTTTGTAAATGCCACTAAGATACCATTAAAGGAAACAATTAAAGAGTTAGAAACACTTTGTTGACCACCTCATTCTTCTAAGTAGGTTTTTACACTTAAGAATATAGCCATTCATAGGCTGTGCTGTGAAAATTTCATTTCACAATTCTAGGATTCTGTTATTAAGTCTTGGTACCCAAAACAGATTCTCAATACTGTCCACCCCAGATACATCCTGTTGCTCGGCTACACATACCAAACTACTAGCCAAACTGGATTCCTGCTGTTTCTGGATTCACTGCGTGGAAAGGAAGCCCTTTGCCTCCATACAGAACGTCCTCTCCCTCCCTGCGCCCCTCTGCTGGACTCCCACTTGCTCTTCCGTGAAGCCTTTCCTCCTCAGCGCAGGTGGAGGTCACTTCTCACTCCTCAGAGCTCACAAGGGTTCACATCACTCTTATGACATTTATTACACACTAATTTATGTTAAAATTATTTGTAGAAATATCTTACGCCTTTAAATTCCTCTCCATTTCTGTGATTCTGTGATTCTAAGCATGAAAATAAGTGGAGGCATGGTGAGGGAAATATGCTACTTTTATTTTCTCTTGTGAGACTTTCATATCACGTATTCTCAGAAAAATAGGAAACCCATAAGAAAAAAATAAAATTGGCTTTTAAGCAAATGAGATATTCATATTAGAGCCAGATCAGGCAGGAATATAGTAATATTTATGTGTTACTTGAAAAAGTTCAAAAGATTCTCACTTATATATTCCCATTTGATTCTCATAACTAGCTTCTGGAATAGGGCAGCTGTGATTATCCCCATTTTAGCCACAAACTTCAATTAAAGATATAATCAAGAAAATGATGATTTAAGTTCCATGGTCTCATGTATGTGGTATAAGAAAATAATTAGTGGTCAGAGAGTCACAAGGGTCTAGTGTCAACCTGCAACACAATGATCTTGAGCCTTTGTTTTCTTTGCCATAAAATGACTACATGAACTAGATGACTTCTGGGTCCCTTCCAAGCTAAAAAATTCTGTGATCTTACAATGCTCTCAATTTGCAGTTGAAAACGCCATGACGTATTCTTTGATTTTCCTCCGAAGGACATTTGCATATCTGCCAGTAAGGAGAAGGATATTGAAGCCAAGCTGACTCAGGTGATTGAGAATTGGACCAACCAAAACTTGAGTTTTGCAACATTTAAGGGAAAGGGAGAGCTCCTGCTCAAAGGAACTGAATCAGGAGAAATTATCACTTTGATGGAGGATAGCTTGATGGTCTTAGGGTCCTTGCTAAGCAACAGGTAATTTTATAACTTGGGGGAGGAGTTTTAATCTGGTATTTAGGGTTATGAAATCCTAGATAAAAGCCCAATTTTGCAGCTATGGCATCTCGTAGGATTCTGTCCTAAACTGCTAGATCTCGTCTGTCCCTATATGAGATGTCTATTTTCCCTAATAACCATGGCCTCCATCTCTTTAATGGTACTCGTCTCCCCTTCCCTATTTTTCCTGGTGGGCCCCATCATAATTATTCCCCCCTAAATTGGCAGCGTATCCTCTGAAGGTCCTGGCTGCGCTCTGAGAATGACCTCCTCATTTTATCTTCTCTCTCTCCCCTTTCCTCTGACTTGTCATCATTGCCCTCCTTGGCTAACCCATTCAAACATCCACTCAGTGGCCCAAGGAAAGCCTGCTGGCCACTACACGAAAGCCATGTACCATTAAGGGCTTGGCACTGAGAGACTTGCAATTTTTATGGTGGCAAGTGGCTGGGGCCAGTGTGGCCTGAATGAGGCAATCTACTGGACAAGCTCGAAGGTGCCGTGATCTTGAGTGCAGCTTCAGGAAATTTCAATGGGAGTCAGTCAGATTAAGTATTCTGTCAGGTCTTCGATCTGGGCATTAGCAACCTCTCTTCCCCTAGCTGACTGTGCTATAGTTTGCAAGTGTTCTTCGCCCTAACACATGTAATAAATATCTAATATCCTTTCTCCTGTTTGGGGGTGCTGGTTAATGAGTGGCATTCTGCATGACCTCTGGCCCTGGGGAAGTCTTGTATTTGGATAACGTGCTAATCTATCATGCTCCTAGTCTGGGGAGTTCTGGGTTGAATTTACTGAGGTCAAGATCCTAGAGTACATCCTCTGCTTTCAGGGAATCTGAATTGTCCTGGCAAAGGTGACCATAGGATGTTCAATGTTTCCTGGACTTTGTGGGACACTACTTCCCCATGGTTCATTGCAAATTTTGCCATCCTAACTTCCTGATGATGACCTCTTGAAGAAGAAAGGGCTGTAGATTCATCTGAGCAGTGTCTGCAGCCAAGGAATTCAGGATTTGAAGGCTTTCTTAAATTCATACTTACTTGGACATAACCTGATTAGTATAATACCTATTTATGGTATTAAGAAACTCAATGCTGAGGCCCTGCTAGAAAGAGTATAAGGATATCTAAGAAGACTACCTTGACGTGACTTCAGAAGGAAACTGCGTGTCTCCGTGGGTGAGACTTGACTGTAGATATTGCCTGGATTGTGACACTTCCTTGGTGCCTCCCTGATTCTGTGGGACTTCATGGGTCTTCCTATCAGTCATGGTGGTTTTGACCACACAGAGTTGTGCAGTGCAGGTACCTCGCCAAAGGATAGAAGCTGGTTTTGCTAGATTTTGTTTCAGCTCTCCCTTCTTCATGTTAGGAAGTTATATACCATCAGATGACTTTTTTAATTCTCTGTGCAGGACCATCTTTGGCCCTAAATATCTAGGTCCTTCATCTTCCTGATGAAATGCCTGCCCATGCCACCTTAGTCTATTAATACTTGGCTTGATTTTGAAGGTGTTTTTGGCATACTGGCTGCCTTTCAGCTCTAGACCAATGGCCAGAGGAACGGTATAAATTGGGTGTTGGGGAAAATGCCTCTTACTGCATGAACAACTGGATTACCTACCTCCTTGGGACAATTTTTGTACAAATCCATTTATAATTCCATGTATAACATAATCTTCCAGAGAAGTTATGGGTTGCACTCAGCCATCAGACTATGCCCAGAACAACCTCATTAAATGTGTGAACATCTTCAAGTCAGTCTGTCCTGGATCAAGAAAAGCTTAAAGCCTTTACTCAACAAGTGCTGCTCACCAGGAAATGCCACTGTACCACATCAAAACTGCTTGCCATTGCCACTGAAGTTGTCAGCTGCTTGCTCTAACTATAGGCAGTTGGGGTCTTTACCCAGTAGCTTCCCATCACTTTCTCCACGGCATCTGTTCTATTTCTTGACTTCCTTTGTTGTGCTCAGCTTCCTGGACCCCTTGTGCTCTCGTAAACACTTCAGCCAGCCCTGAGGATGAGAAAACAGGAGGTGTGCTATCGTGGGATGGCTGTCCTGAGTCTCCAGCACTGCAGAATCCTAGTTGCAGTGACTGGGCTGGTGGAATTTGCTGTCTGTGGTTGGGAAGTGCACAGAAGACCTCAAGCTTGACTCTGACCTTGTGGTAATCTTTCTCCAGGTGAACCCGGTGATAGCTAACCCTCTCCTGACCTTTTGGGATCTTATTTGTCCTGTCCCTTTAGAGATGGTCTCTTATTGGATGAAGACTTCAAGACCATTCATGAAAGGGAGATCCCTGGATGATGGTCTCTTTCCCTAGATTCAGTCATTCCACGAACCAGTAACAGAGTCTTATGTGTCTTACGTGTTACAGACAGCCCCCACTTGGATTTGGTTCACAGAAGTCCTGGAAAACCATCTCAGTCCTTGTTTTCCCTTCACTCATAAAGCACAATTCCTTTACTGGGCGTTTGTGCCCTAAAACTTAGCCTATTTTTCTATTCTATCACTGACACATGGGAATCATAAGTGAAATTGCTATAATTACATGAATTTTATTGATAAAAAGCAAAAATTTTACTAGCTGTATGATATCTACTAGGGACTGCCCTCTTAGGACAAAACATTCACTCCCAAAGGAATGTTTCTCCTGTAATTTACTTTGTTAGAACATACTGTTTTCTAAACCTTCCTTGAAATGTAATGTTTTCCATTCTTACTTTTTAGGTATAATGCTCCATTTAAAAAAAATATACAGAATTGGGTGTATAAGTTGTCCACATCCTCAGATATAATTGAAGAGTGGCTAATAGTGCAGAATCTTTGGGTTTATCTTGAAGCTGTCTTTGTGGGTGGAGATATTGCCAAGCAGCTGCCTCAGGTAAATACGGCCTTTGTAATTACTGATAAAATAATTTGGTGTGTGTTGTGTGTGTGTCTCTATAAAAGTCTTCTCAAAGACCTATGGCCAAGGCTTGACTGTGTCGGGGGTTAGTGAACTATTAATACATCCCACTCGCCTGTTTGTTTTAAATAAAGTTTTATTGGAACACAGCCACATCCGCTCATTTATGTGTTGTCTGTGGCTGCTTTAGCACCACAACCGCAGAGCTGAGTATTTGTAACAAAGACCATATGGCCCACAAAGTCTAAAATCTTAACTCTCTGGCCCTTCGCAGAAAAAGTTTTAAATAAAAATGCTGGCTTCTGATTTACATTAGCAGAAAGAAGAGACTCACATAGTTTCAAACAGTGAATAATCTTGATGTTGTTTGAAGATGGGAGGTACATTCGAAGATAGTACTATTAAATTATACTAATTCAGCTCTCCCAAGAGTGAAGCTTATCATATTCATTTGAGAGTAGTATTAAAATTAGTCTGTATTCTGTAAGCACAGATGAACCATTCATAAGTCTACTACTAGCAGATCAGAAACGTACTGTGGGGCAAGAAACTTAGCCTTAGAAGACTATAACAAAACATTCACAACAGCTCTATTAGGGCCTTGTAAATAAATGCCAATAACTAACGGATAGGTTTAGTCTATCAAGGTAACTTTCCTCTTTTAAAATTAGTCCAGCTCTTCCTAAATTTCTATATCTACAAACAGGATCTATATATATTAAAAATAAAGAAAAGAAATGTTTTGAAAATGGCTGATTTCCCTAAATAACATATTTTTAAAACATTAAAGTGTATTGCTTTTGTTTTTTAGTCAGAAAGTTGCATTTTTAAAAGAGGCAAGATTATGCCAATATCTAGAGGCACTTTTGCAATTGAGTGCAAAGTTTAATATTATCCATAGTAAATAGAAAATTTTCATTTGCAAAAAATGTAAATGAAGCTTTGTTTTGTGCTTTTACTGATTTTTTTCCTTTCTTTTTTTTTCCCCCTGGGGTACTATTGGGCTGTAATTATTCCAGGGATCCTGAGATCAAATTATTTTCATGCCTCTTCAGTTTGCTCATCAAACCAAAACACCTGGGGTGCTGAAACACTGGCTTTGAACTTTAAGTTGATAGCTCTGCAAATTAATCATGTGTTACTTTCAAAAATGTATTAAATGCAAGGAAACAAGCAGTAAACCCCTTTGTGGTAAAGCTATATTTTAATATGCAGTTTTATAGCTTTGGATTTTTGTTGTTCAGAATTAATTCGGATGAAAAAAACATGGTCTGTTTAAATTATGCAGCCTGAGACTGATAGAGACTGGTTTGAAGAACTACAAGGAAATTCCAAAGTGAAGATTTTCCTTTTCTCAATTATCCAAATGCCTAACCTTTGCTGACTATGGATTTGCTTTCAGGAAGCAAAACGTTTTCAGAACATTGACAAGTCGTGGATAAAAATAATGCAGCGGGCTCACGAGAACCCCAATGTGATTAACTGCTGTGTTGGAGATGAGACCATGAGCCAACTTCTACCTCATTTACATGAACAGCTGGAAGTATGTCAGAAGTCACTTACCGGGTAAGAGTTCAATTAAATCACTCATCATTTTTTTTTTTTTTTGTGATGGTGTTTTATCCCAAACAAGTTACTGGTATTGACTATGTTTCTGATAAGGCAGTGATGGTTGAAGTGGGGATAGGAATTTAAAATTTTACATAACTTCTAATTTTTCTGTAAGAAAGACACCTTCGACTGGGGGGTGGGTAAGTAAAGGCATCGTATTGGTTTCCTAGGGCTGCCATGACAAATTCCCACAAACTGAACAGCTGTAAAGCAGCAGAAATTTATTCCCTCTTAGTTCTGGAGGCAAGAAGGCTGAAATTGAGCTGTCAGCTCCCTCCGAAGGTGCTGAGGGAGAATCTTCCCTGCCTCTTCCAGCTTCTGGTGGCTCCAGGAGTTCCTCACCTTGTGGCTACGTCACTCCAGTCTCTGTCTCTGTCTTCACCTGGCCTTCTCCTCTTCTTCCTGTGTGTCTCTTATGATGACACCTGTCATTGGATTCGGGGCTGACTGGTGTAATCTAAAGTGATCTCTTCTTAAGATCCCTGACTTCATTACATCCGCAAAGACCCTTTTTCCAAATAAGGTCACATTCACAGATCCCAGGGAATAGGACGTGGGCATATCTTTTCGGGGGTTACCATTCAACCTGCTACAGGCATGGCGTAGAAATGTGCTCTAAGACTGTGGTTCCCAAACCCCGGGCTACGGCCCAGTACTGCTCCGTGGCCACGCGTCACCGCCCAAGCTCTGCAGCACCCTCGTGACACCCCATCCCCTACCTCTGGTCTGTGGAAAAATTGTCTTCCATAAAACCAGTCCCTGGTGCCAAAAAAGTTGGGGACCACCACTGTAAGAGAACAATTAACCAGACAAATTCACAGATAATGTTTTTAAAAGGCAGTTCATGCTCAATTTCTATTTGAAATAAGTTTATGCCTCTGTCCTGGCTTTATGTTGTTAGTTCTTCCGCCTTTCACTCTCAAAGTGTCCTGGCTTAAAGATAAATTATGTGTTCACCCTGGGTTTAAACCACAAGGTTCTCAATACTCTTAAAAAGGTCATAGGAGAAAGCTGGATGTGGTGGCTTGTGTCTGTAATATCAGTGACTCAGAGGCTGAGATGGGAGGATTGCTTGAGCTCAGGAGTTCGATACCAGCCTGAGCAACAGTAGTGAGAAATAAAATAAAATATAGAAAAATTAAAAAAAAAAAATTAGCTGCGCATAGTGACATGCACCTATAGTCCTAGCTACTTGGGTGGCTGATGGGGGAGGGTCACCTGAGTCCAGGAGTTGGAGGCTGCAGTGAACTATGACCACGCCACTGCACTCCAGCCTGGGTGACAGAGCGCTCCTGATGAGAAAAGAGAAGACAATAGCTTGTGGGGCAGCCTTGCTTTGCTACTATCTTAGCGAAGATGTCAGTGATTTTGTCTTGGCAAAAAATATTCACAATTCAGAAAAAAATCACTTGGTAACATGCTGTTGACTTTATTTGAAGGTATTTGGAGAAGAAGCGATTATTATTTCCAAGATTTTTCTTTGTATCTGATCCAGTTCTCCTGGAAATTCTTGGACAAGCCAGTGACTCCCACACCATACAGGTATAATCTAAGTATCTGTGACCTCAATTGCTTTTTCCACAGCATACATAACCAAGAATAAAAGTGAAGTTAACATCCGAAAAGTGCAAGTAGGAAAGAAGACTATTAAAAATCACGTTGATTATAGAATGTCCCATTTTCTGAATATTTGGAGCCTGTCAGCCTGACACAATCCAGCGGTGTTGGTGAGCAAGGATCCCTGATTGTGCCACTTACTAGCTGTGTGACCTTGGCAAGCTTCCTAATTTTCCTGTGCCTCAGTTTCCCCATCGGTAAAATTGAGATATTAATGGTTCCCACCTCACAGGATTGTCGTGAGGATCACATGAGCTAATGCATAGCAAAGTATCTGGCACACAGGATGTGTTCAAAATTCACCATTATGGGTATTTTACTCTGAATATTCTTAGACTAAATAGGGGTTGTGGTTTGGATTTACTTGTCCTTTTTTCCTTCCAAAATGCTTCTCAAATGCTTTTCGCCATTTCCAAGAGGAAGAGAAAAACTGTAGAGCACTGGGCACGGGAGGCACTGGAGCGCTCACCCCAGGGCCATTTCTGGTTTGGGGGTGGGAATGGCTAACATTGTCTTCCTTGTTGGTGTCCAGGGAGGTGTGGCGCTGCGAACCGCAGAGACAGAGCCAGGAGAGAGGGCGGGACGGAGCTGTATCTGGGCGGGAGGAGGACTGGGGCAGGTTGGTCCAGTCTCTGTCTAGAGGAAGGTGACAGTCACTAGTCCAATCCCCATAGTATTGGGGGGGCATTTGCAGGACTTGGAGAAGACATATGTAGGACTAGATTTTAAAAAGTGGGATTCCAACTCAGTCAAGGGTCAAAGCAGAGTCTGTATTTTTGTTTTTTGACAATGAAGTAAATTCTCAGTCTTTTTAACAGATAAAAAATATTAAGGCTTTTAGAAACATCCAGATAGCTTTTGTGTTGGGCCTCGTGTGAGATGTTTTGCTCTGTCTTGTGCTCCTTACAGCCGCATCTGCCTGCAGTATCTGACAACATCAATGAGGTGACATTTCATGCAAAAGACTATGATCGGATCCTGGCTGTCATATCAAGAGAAGGAGAAAAAATTGTTGTAAGTTAGCTTGGTTCACATTTCATTATTAGGATTTCTGTAAAAACTTTGGTTGAAAGAATGCAATTTGCTTACAGGGGAAAAAAAAAAAGGGAGAGAAGGGGATTATATAGCCCTGGCTTTGTTACAGACTAGTTTGGATAAATCATTTAACATCTTTGAGACTCGTTTTGTCCTCTATACCGTGAAAATGTTATACTAGGTAATCTCTTTAGTTCCTTCCAGCTATAGTATTACATGATTTTACCCATGTTTTAAATATTTTGTATAAAATATGAAACTGTTTGCTTTGCATTGAGGTATTATCATTTGTGTGTGTGACATCTGTAAAGTTACTGAGTTATTATCAATTTGTAATTTCTTTTTAGTTGGATAGTTCTGTTATGGCCAAAGGTCCTGTAGAGATTTGGCTTCTGGAATTGCTAAAAATGCAGATGTCATCGTTACATAATATAATTAGATCTGCATTCTATCAGATCAGTGATTCAGGATTTCAACTCTTACCTTTCCTCAACCACTTTCCAGCACAGGTGAGAATACACAATGTTTAAATAATGGTTAAAAGAAATGGAAGTAAGTGTGGGGAGGATACTTGGGAGGTGGCCAGCTTGATGGTGTGGAGGCTGTCGTGGCTTTGAACTAGTTAGAGAGGCCTCTACCCACCGTCATCTAACCTCAGCTCACAACCGCTTGTCAGCCTACACCGTTCTAGGCCGATCCATCCAGTCCCCCAGAAGGGGATATGCAGCTTTTCCTTATTAAGGATATACACTGAGACTAAAACCACTTGTGGGAAATTTCATTTTACAGATATATATGTGTGTGTGTGTGTGTGTGTGTATACATACATATATATATTTGTATATGGATATTCCTCAACTTACGATGGGGTTACATCCTGATAAACCCATTATAAGTTGAAAATATCATAAATTGAAGATGTATTTAATACACCTCGCCTAACTGAACATCATAGCTTTGCTGAGCCTACCTTCAACGTGCTCAGAACACTTACATTAGCCTACAGTTGGGCAAAATCATCTAACATAAAGCCTATTTTATAATAAATTATTGCATACCTCATAATTTCTTGAATACTGTACTAAAAGTGAAAACAGAGTGGTTGTATGGATACTCGATGTATGCTTTCTAAATCGGCGTAATCTTTTAAAGGAGGCTTTCTCATGCAACTGACTTTCTAAAAAGAAAAGATCTCAAAGAGCCTGAGGTTGGAGCAAGTGCCAATGGGTTCATTAAATTTTCATTCAAGGTAAAGGAAAAGTGATGATTTGTAATCTGGAGCAGAGACAGCATGGGATAGAAGGCAAAAGATATTCACGGAAGATATAGGCAGTTTTTGTCCAAACTATATTTCTTCTCCAACCACATCTCCCAGCCTGAACTCCTGATCCTGAATTAGTGCACATACAGTAGAGACAGCTGAAATGATGTGAAATTATGTATCCGAACTACACAAGTACAATATAGAATCAACTTTTATTGGAAAAAATATTTTAATACAGTGATGTTTTTATATTGTATAATATCCTTGGCAAATTTTAAAATTCTCATTAGCATGGTTACCTTTGTGATAAAGCTTTATGAAATACTTTATTTGGTAAATTGAGACAATAGCTCCTTAAACTAAATCAACATATTTTCCCTGTCTCGGGACAGCCCGACCCTGCATATTCCGAAGGAGAGGCTCAGTCTAATTTAGACTGAAGATTTAGCATCACGTGGAGAGTTGAGAGCAAGTTCAGAGCAGTGGTGAAACTGAGCAAGATATAGTAGGAAAGTTGGCCAGCTTTCAGGATTTTCTTTAGTACATATATTCATTATTTTTAAAGCAGTTTTTCCAAATAACCAAAATTTGCCCACTATTAAGTTAGTCTAATATTATTTAAAAATTCACTTCTGCTTTCTTATAAAATATGTTTTAAAGATTATAAATGCAACAGATCCTTGGTGCAAAAGTTTGGAAATTTTTTTTTCCTTTTTTTATATATATATTTTTTAATTTTTATTTCTGCATAGTATGGGGGTACAAATGTTTAGGTTACGTTGTCCTTGCCCCCCAACCCCAGTCAGAGCTTCAAGTAAAACTAGAAAAGCAGAAATAAAAATTTCCCATGTTTCTTCCACCTGGAAATGATGACTGTTAACATTTCAGTGTATTTCTTTCTAGTCTTCTTTCTTTCTTTCTTTTGGCTATTTTCTAAAATTGACATATAGTAATTGTATATATTTCTGGGGTACATAGTAATGTTTTGATGTGTATGAATAGTGATCAGATCAGGGTAGTTAGCATATCCATCATCTCAAACATTCATCATTTCTTTGTGTTGGGAACATTCAATATCCTTCTAGCTATTTGAAACGATGTATTATTGTTAACTATAGTGACCCTACAGAGGTATAGAACACTAGAACTTATTCCTCCCATCTAGCTGTAATTTTGTGTCCTTTAACAATCTCTCCCTACCTCCCACTTCCCCCTCCCATCCCCAGCCTCTAGAATCCTGTTTTACTCTTTACTTCTATGAGATCAACTATTTTTAGCTTCCACATAGGAGTGAGAACATGTGGTGCCTCCCAGTATTTTTTAATGTGCTTCTTATAGGCATGAAATAACACTGATGAGAATGAGCATTCTTTTTTTTTCTTAAATGAAACATTCTCCAGTTTTCACCATTAAGTCTCCTGCCTTCTTAGCCTGAGTATAAAGGCATAATTTCAATGGTTTTTGGTGACTCAGGATAATCATTTTAAAAAGAGTTGCTTTTGGATATACACCGTGATGCCGTGGTCTTTCAGGGTCTGCTGGTCTGTTTAAGTCAGACCGCCGGACACTGCTGAGCTTTTATATTTTTTCTCCTTGCCTTTCCCACGTGGGGCCATCTGCTCCTGCCATCAGGGCCAGAATCTGCTTGCACCAGCTACTTTCTCTAGGTCCCGTTGCTTACTTCAGCCAGGTGCTTTCATTTGTCTTTACCTGTGGACCCCAGGATTGGCCACTGCTCTAGCAGAAAAAGTGTCAAAGTCGCCGATGAGGCAGGGATAGGAAACAGGTGTTATTCTTGCTTTTCCTGCTGTTGATCCCATGCCAAGCAGCGTCCACATGTGGCCCACGCTGCTCCCAGTCCTCCCCCAAATGTGTGAGTCTTTTTTTAGTCCAAATGATCTTGGATCTGTTGCTTGACCCTGGGGGATGAACAAGAGCTCCCTAAGGGACAACTGTTTCAGTGAGGGGGTGAGGGTGGGGGCATGTTCAGGCCATTTTTATACTTTTATCACGTTTTCGGGGGGCAGAAATTGTAGGCCTAACGTGACGTCCTCTCACAATTTCTTTATGCCTCCATCAGGATACAGAAGATACAAACTTCTCCCCTTCTCACTTTCTGTCTCTCTCTTCTATAGGTAAATTTAAAGATGGAAAAGTAGACACAGATAAAGTGTGGATTATAGAGAGAGTAAGAGATCAAGAAAGGAGATAGGCAGCATATTGTTTTTAGAAGAGCAAGAATACCTATGGAAAACCTTAAGCAGGAAGGAAAACTACACGATAAAGGGTCCATTAATCACATTTGCTTCTCTTGAGAAAGAACAGTCGTTGCGTGAAGGTATCTGGTACCTTCAGGCCTGGTAGTCTCCAGGCCTTCCATAGAAAACTTTCCTAATCATCTTGTATAACACACATATAGTTCAATAAATGGTAGCCATTATTTTAATTATTATTTATCTATCTACATCGACATAATTAAATATTAATAGTTAAAACTTTAAATGTTGTTACCCCGTTTAGGAGTGGAGAAATGCATGTCTCTTTTTTAGTTTAAAATGAGGAAAACCCTGTTTACCTCATGTGAATCAGTGACCACCAAATTTTACTGCAGATGTAACTTTAAATATTGGCAAATTTAAATATTTTTCTGCTGGATTTGTAGGTTGGGCTTCTGGGAATTCAGATGTTGTGGACACATGATTCAGAAGAAGCTTTGAATAATGCAAAAGATGACAGGAAAATCATGCAAGTGACCAATCAGAAGTTTTTGGATATTCTAAATACTCTTATTAGTCAGACAACACATGATCTAAGCAAGTTTGATAGAGTGAAGTTTGAAACTCTAATTACCATCCATGTGCATCAGAGAGATATTTTTGATGACTTGGTAAAGTATTTTTCTTAATGTAAAATTTAGTGTACTAGTGAATAATGAATAGTTGAGGATTACACATATTGCCTAACTTATATGAACTTCCTGTCTACTTGGTCCTTTTTCATGACTGTCTCCATCTATACCATGTCTACAAGTATCTGTACTGGGTGGTTTAAACAACCATGCATGTATATTCATTTGGCACTCTGAAAGTCTGGAATCAACTGATGTTATATGAATCAATTAATTGTTCCATAAAACCGAATAACCAGGGATGTGATATAATTTAGGTGGGATTGGTCATGGACTGTGATGGGCGATGGGGGAAGAAGCCCGGGTGAGCAGAATTAAGCTTCAGAGAACTCTCCCGCTGTTTGTCCAACTGACAGTGTGCCACAGGGCATCAGGGGCTTGATTTGGGCCAGGTTCTATAGGGTGGGAGTAAGAGGGGTGGGATTTGAATTCCCTCTGGAAATAGGACTCTAATCAGCGACTTTGAGCAAGGCCAAATTCTCCTAAAGCAAGGATTCTCTATTATGGGGTAGGGGCCCCAGGTGGTTTTGATATACCAACATCTGACAGTCTTTGTAACTACCATTGCTTTATTCTACTTGATTTGATACGTCTTAAAGCTACCTCTTTCCTTCATCAGAGATATATAATTCATGCAAGTTGGGCCCTGTTTTAGAGAATGTGATCAGATTGTTTCAAACTTTTATCAAAAGTTCTGATCAGATAAGTTATATTTATTGAAGATTATTTGAAGGACATGCAGTCAGTCCATCGATTCCCCTGCTTCTGAAAGTATTATCTGCTGATCAGTTGCATTGATACCACCTGGGAGTGTGTTAGAAGAGCAGAATCTCTCGCCTCCCTCCCCCCACCCCAGACCTATTGAATCAGAATCTGCATTTTAACAAGATTCCCAGGTGATTGATATGCGTATTAAAGTTTGAGAAAAACTGCTCTAGGATTTATCTCTGGATGAAGCTAGTCATCAGAAAGCTGCATATTAGACGTTGTTTTGGCCTTCTGCAGACTTGCTTTTACTAATTGCAATTGACATTATAGCTTGACTTTCATTGAAGTCCGCCTCCAGAAATGCCACATGGAATTCATTATTGTTTCTACTACAAGGACACTATTGAGGATGTTGTCTAAACATCTCTTACTATCTCTTAAAGCTGAAGTCCCATGGAAAAAATTTCTTTTAAAATTAAGTGCTGAGGAAAGCTTTACTTTCCAAACAGAATGGATTTTAAAAAACCTGTACACAGTGGAAACTATGAAACTGTTTTCCTTTTGTCTTAATCACCATTGAACTCGTGGTCAGTTTGCATCCCAGCTAAAATGAGATCTCATGGCCAGGATATATGCATTTTATTTTTCCATGTATAATGCTTAGAATAGTCTGACATACAGTAAGAACTCAATAAATATATTAGTTATTCTTCTTCTCTTCCTCCTCCTCTGCCAACTCCTTACCATCCTAACAAATTGTTGAAAGCAGCTAGCTGATTGTATCTCCTTGGGTGTGGGTCGTGTGTTAGAGAGTGGATTCTGTGGGGGTTCAGCCAGACTGTGTTTCCTGAAAGTAGCTCTTTTAAGGTGATGAGTACAAACAGTGCCTTAGGTGGGAAGCCAGGATCCTTCACTGGAGCTGGAAGCAAGGCCATAAGCAACGCAATAAGCAACAGTAAGGAAAAGCAAGACTGTAAATAGGAAAGTGTATGGAGACCTGGTCAGATGGAGACCTGAATATTGTATGGCTGCCACAGGTCTGTTTTTTAGTGTTAGCTGAAAGATCCGGAAGTGGGCCTGCCGGGTGGAAGACCAGTGAAGGGGACCATTTGCCACTTTCCTGTGTTGATTCCCTGAGTAGGCATCACTGGGGCTTCTCCAAATTTACCAGTGGAAAGTCATGAAGCAACTCAGAATGTGGGTGTGTGGGACAGAGTTCCTAACATTCTTACCTGGCTTTATCTCTTCTAATGGGCCAGGTATGAGAGTTTGCATCCATGGCAGTGAGAGCCCAGGACCTCTTGCCCCGCATGCATAAGCTGGTGACCAGGCAGGCTGGTGCTTGGCTATGGTGCTGATGCAGGAAGACACCTGTGCCCATGCACTTCTCTACCAAAGCATTCCTTCAGTGGCTTCCAACTGCCATGAGGACAAGTCCCAAACCCTTTCCCATGGCCTTGTGAAGCCTCAACTCTCATTCTTGCTCTAGATCCCTGGATGCCCCACCTGTACTGAATTGAACATGCCAAGCAGATCTCCTGGGCCATTGTCTACAGCACTTTCTCCTCCCACACCCTTGTTACCTGTTTTGTTTTATTTCCCAGGCTCATTCCTACTATTTATCCAGGTTTTAGGTTAGATGTTTTTTTTCTCTGAGTGCTTCTCTCAGACCCCCTGGACCAGGTTAGGTTCTCCTGCTACATATATTCAGGAGCCCTGAATTTTATTGGTAGTGCTTTTCATACTTTGTTGCAATCACATGTTTCACTGTTTGTCTTTTGCCCTTTTCTGTAAGCTCCAGAAGGCTGGAACCATGTCTGTCTTTGTGCACTCAGCACAGTGTCAAGCACAGAAGGAACTCAATAAATACTGGTTAAATGAAGGAGAATCAGTTCATGAATGAGTGAACAAAAATGCCCTTATGCTTGCGTTTTATGCTGTCGCCATTCAGTATGTGACTTTTTTGTATTTCATGTTTTTAAGGTAAAAATGCATATCAAATCAGTTACCGATTTCGAATGGCTGAAACAAAGTAGATTTTATTTTAAGGAAGATTTGGATCAAACTGTGGTGTCTATTACAGATGTTGATTTTGTGTACCAAAATGAATTTCTGGGATGCACTGATCGTCTTGTTATCACTCCATTAACAGATAGGTAGGAGACCCAGTTTTTGTTATTTGATTTTGTAATTTAAAAATATGCTTAAAATTGTTTTAAAATTGCATTTGAAATGTTGACAAAAGCACAATGCTGTCGTGTTGGGTATATGCTAGCTCGTTAGAGTCAGTCTAAATGAAATAACTGTAGCTACTACTTAAACATACATGCACATTGAACTTTTATGAAGTAGAAAGAGATTAAAGAATAAAAGCAAGCTTGAATGTTGACTATAAGTAATTTAATAATGAATTTTAGATTGCAAGATAAAAAAATATTCCTAGAAACCATAAAGGAAGTAATTAAAATTGCGAAGACGGAGGATACCTTGGAGATCATCTACTTTAGTCTTTTGGTTTTTCAGATGTGGAAATTTATACCTAAAGTCAAGCTTGTTGGCCACGCCTGAATAATTAGCCCATGGCCGATCCCCTCATAGTTTTTTCCAGTATATGTCACTACGCAAGAACTGGGTCTTTTTCATCTTTGTATATTTCACAACACCCAGTTCAACATGCTGTGTGCATGGAAAACACTTGATAAGTGTTTGTAGAATTGACTTAAATTGGGTTATGTGACATTTAGTTCTGCCATTCCTTTAAGTAGGGCTGCCTCCTTGTGGCTTATCCAACCTCTCCCTTTTATACACCCCGAGCCATTGAACGATGCATTTGTCAGTGTCCATTGGTGTTTGCACAGTAAGCTTCATGTCTCGTGACGCTTTATTGAGATCTTTACTATGTTTTGCTTAGATCCAACAACTATAATACAACAGAATCTGGATCATGGATACAAGTAAATTCGTTATATTATCCTTTATATTTCTCTAAATGAGTGAAACACCTCATAGTTAAATGATTTATTTGTAATGGTGTGCTGGAGCTGGCTTGTATCAGCCTGTGAGAGCCAACTATGTGCATTTTGTCTCAATTTTGTGATGTCACTTTGGTATCTTGTCATTGGCCATGGTGGAAGTATCTATACCACAGAAACTGATGAACATGAAACTCAGGTTGGAGAGCCAGTTGTTAAACACCGGCCAGCACAGCACTATTTATTTGGTTCCCCTACTGACCACAATGGGAGGACGGCCTGAAGGTTTTAAGTCAGGGTGGAGAAATGTAGAATTGGTGCCAAGAAATCTTCCTCAGGCTTGTTTAGTTGCCTCTTTTATGTGGGCTACTCAAACTGTAAAATAAACGGGCCCATTCCAATCACACTGGGCTTCTGCTTGTGCTTGTAACATGGGTTACCCGCATTCACAGTGCTTTATCTGATTAACTCTTGCAGATGCTATATCACCTTAGCGCAGGCGTTGGGAATGAACATGGGAGGTGCTCCAGCAGGACCTGCAGGCACTGGCAAAACAGAAACCACAAAAGACATGGGAAGGTGTTTGGGAAAATATGTGGTCGTGTTCAACTGCTCAGATCAAATGGATTTCAGAGGCCTAGGCAGGATTTTCAAAGGCAAGTGTCAAACAATATTAAGTTATTTTGGTGAATTTATTTTTATTTCCTTTTAACATTAACATCTGATAGAAATCTAAAATGAAAGTATCCCGCATACTCAACATTAGTATAGGTTGATCCATGCGATACTGCCATTTTTCTAGGTTAAAAATGGCCAGATATCATAAATTTCATATAGTTCAGTACTATTGCTGGTGATATCATCTGTGCATTGAATGTGTATTGGATTATGAAAACAGAATCAATTTATAACTGCCGAAAGGGAAGAAATAAGATCAAGATAGCAAATTGGTGACACATGTGACTTCTCTTCCTGTATTAAATCTTACTGAAATGAAGGATTTTTTTTTTTA